AGGCAGGGTCTCACTATGTAGTTAAGGCTGACCTGGAACTCACTATGTAGCCCAGGCTGGTCTCAAACTCACAGTGATCCTCCTGCCTCTGCCTCCCCAGTGCTGGGATTACAGGCGTGCGCCACCATGCCTGGCTCCGGCATTCTTGTTTAACACTTTCCTATGGAAGCCCAAAGACACAAGTCATCCGTTTGTTCCTTAAAGAAGGGTTTCTAACACAAATTCCCCCAAGGGGCAGATGGGCACAGAAATGCATCAAGCCAGCAGGTTCGGGGCTAGAATAAGAGGTGATGACAGTTCACCTTGTCCTCTTGCTGGAATGTGGGCTCAGGAATACCAGACTACTGGTACCGTTTCTCAAGAAGACAGTAGCTCCCAATTTTAAGTGGAATATCTGGTTTCAAAATTTTGTGTCTTTTATCAGCCAGGTTCTTCTCACTGTCATGAAATATCTGAGAAAATCAGCTTATACAGAGGAAAGGTTTATTTTGGTTCATGCTTTTTCGAGGTTTGAACCTATGACCGGTTGACCTCATTACTTTGGGTCAGTGTGAGGCAGCCCATCATGGTGGAAATATGTGGTAGAAGCAACACATTCACCTCATGGCCAGGAAGCGAAAGAGAAAGAAGAGGTGAAGTTCCCATGATCCCCTGCAAGGGCCTCCCACGAGGCCCCACCACTTCCCTATCCCAGGGACCAAGTTAACACACAGACTGTTTTTTGGCGGGAGGGCAGGTGGGGAACACTAAAGATTCAAACTACCGCACATCTAACTCATATGTTGTAGTGAGCAGAAAATGAGCTGCAGTATTTTCTTAGTCATTCTTATAGAAATGATGCTGCCTTAGCCAGGTGTGGTGGTCACACCTATAACCCCAGCATGGTAGGAGGCTGAGGCAGCTGGATCACAAGTTTGTGCTCAGTCTGGGCGACTTAGCAATGTAGCAAGACATTTTCTCAAAATTAAAAAAAAAAAAAGTGGGGCTGAACGGGTGGCTTGGGATATAGTTCATTGGGAAGGTCCTGAGTTCAATCACAGAATCAAAGGGAGAGGGAGAGGGAGAGGAAGAAGGGGAGAGGGGAAGAAGAAGAGGAGGAGGAGAGGAAAGGAGGAGAGGATGGAAGGGAAGGGAAGGGAAGGGAAAGAAAGGAAAAGAAAAAACAAAGGAAGATGTCCTTCTTCGTCGCACCTCCTGCTCTGGTACAGGAGGTTGGTTCTCATCATTGAATCCCAGTTGGCTCCTCTAAGGAGGGTCACCAAGACCATGGCGTCCAGGGCTTCCTGGGTCCATTGCAGCTCAGTCTGGATGGCACACGGAGCTGAGTGATGGATCGTTCGCATGAGAGTCTCTTTCCTGCAGCAGCTTCAGGAACATCCAAGAGAATCATCTTCCCTTCTGCTCTGTTACTGTTTCCTCCCAGAGGTGGAGGAGCGAACAGCGTGAGTGGCAACATGGAGGAAGAGTAGGGCCTGGCGCTGCGTGCCCTCCTCTCCTCCCCTCTCCTTTCTGAGCCCGGTCGCCCACCTGGCTGTGCTCTCTCGAGCTGCGGTTGGCATCTGCAGCAGCCGTGCTGCCCCGGACCCAGGGGGCAGTGTCTGTCGTCCCCAGCTTCAGAGTTAGAAAGCTCATTGTTGCTGCTGCACTCCAGCTAAGGAGGCTGGTGCTTGGCTCTCCGTCTGCCTTGCTCATCTGTCTCTTGGTTGGCTCAAAACTTCAGCCATGAATGTTGATCTCAAAGAAGCAGAAAACAGAATAGTGGCTACCACGGTCTGAGAAGGCTGTAGGGGAGGGAGGGAAGGTCAGTGGGTTGAGGGGTGTGGTTGAATAGGAGGGACAACTTCTACAGGTCTGTAGCACAGTACAATACAGTAACAGTGATTGGCAACAATTAATTGAATATTTTAAAATGGCTCTCGGGGAATCTTTTCACGTTCCCAACACACACAAGAATGCTGTATGCCTGGGATAACAGATGTACCATTTGCCGTGATCTGGCCATCACAAGTTGCATATATATGTGTTTAATGCCACAAAGTACTCCATACAGACATGCAGTTTCTATTTATCAATTAAAATATATATATATATATCATTTAAATAGTTAAAATTAACAAAACTTGAAGAGTGATCGAGGTGTAAAATTTCTACTCTCAGACACCATTTTAAAGATTCTTTGAAATTAAATACCCTCCAATGGCGAACCCATTCTGGAATAATCTGTCCTTCATTCTGTGTTTCCCAGCAGAATGTATAGGGTTCTAGCACTGTTCTTTCTCCTGTATCTCAAAGATAGGTCAATTCAATTCTATTCTAGAGATCTGGTTTCCAGAGATAGTTGTGTGTTGCCATTAAGGTCTACAGTCAGTCTCTTTTTCCCTCCCGTGTCCTCCCAAGACAGTCCTACTTGGACAGCACTCTTGGGTTTGTGCCCCGTAACTACCCTGTCTTTTTTTCCCCCCTCTCGGCAATTTCAAAGGCTGGAGTTATCATATTTATTTCTTCTGATGTTAAGCCAGAGAATGGGCTCAGTCCTTTTTCTCATCTCATCAACTGTCATTAAACATCATCAAATATTTGTATCAGAAACATTTTTTCCCCTTCCAAATCTTGTAATCATGCCCATATTCAGGGAGGAGGAGAAAGGGAGAAGAGTGACCAGTGTACAATGTACTTTAGAGCCTACTTTCGTTAATCAAAGCCAAGTTCCATTCAGTGGTGCTCATTACAGACTATCAAGATCATCCCCAGGACATCCGCAATGAAGAGAAAAAACAAAATGTAGGATTGTATGACGAGGACCACAAGCTTGGAACTGTAATGGAAAATTTACTTTGGTATTATGATGATTTATCAAAGCTTAGCATGTGTCATTCCTTTCTGCCCACAAT